GGCCGGGGCCGGGGTGCTCCGGGCCGTGCGGCCCCCCAGCCAGGGGCTTGCGCGCCCCGGGCCGGACCGGCTGCGTTGCGGGGGCCGGTGTGTTTGGGAGCAAGGGCCCAGGCTGCTCCTCCGGCCTCTTGGCCGCGCTGCCCTGCGCCGGGAGGGGCCAGGGTGAGGTGGGAGCCGCTGAGGAGAGGGGCTCTGGGGTGAAGGCACCTGTGGGCTGCAGGGGGGAGGCTGCGCCAGCGCCTACCGCGGGGTGATGTGCCACTGGTGACATCTCATCTCCTGGGACTGGCGAGGTGCTGACGTCCCAGTGGTGAAGGGAAGGAAAAGGCCCAGCCCAGGAGGGGAAGGGCTTCCCCTAGAGACCCTGGCGTGGATTTATCCCTTCCACCAATGTGTTTGGATCCTCTGGAAGAAGTAATGTCCCTGGGAAAGATTCGACGACGCTTCGAGTTGTGAGAAATGCACGCTCCCTCTGGCACCCTTGAGGTTTTGGCTTAAATTCACTGGATGACCTGGGTTACTAGGAATAACGCCACAAATTGATTGAGAGCAGGTTCAGGTTGGACATCAGGAGACTACTTTACAGTTAGGGCTGCCGGGCTCTGGAATGGGTTCCCAAGGGTGGTGGTGCTCTCTCCTACCTTGGGGATCTTCAAGAGGAGGCTGGACAGATATGTGACTGGGGTGATATGACCCTGGCAACTGTTCCTGCCCAGGCAGGGGGCTGGACCTGATGATCTGTTTAGGTTCCTTCTGACCCTAAGTACTATGATACTGTGATATGACCCAAGTTAACAGTCCAGCTAGTTTTAAGGACAGGCCCTGTTTGCAGAGGGAAGTGGAGGGCAGGTGGTGGGGGGAGGGAAGGGGAAGGCAAAGAGTAAAGGGGGAAGGCAAAGAATTGAGGATCTTTTTATCAATCATAAAGAAATAAAAAAAAAGGGGGGGGGAACAGGCTGATTTAAAAACCAAGCAAAACAGGAAGAAAAGACAACATTGGCAAATCCCCTTTGTAAGTGCAGCAGGAATTGTGTGCCCTGTTGGAATTGGGAGTGGGGAAATGCTGGTCAACCAGGTTAGTTGCACATGCTGCAGAGCATGGTTTCTCTTTACGCCATTGGCTTCTGTAATGGTACTAAACCACCTAAATGTTTCTTTTGGGTCTTTGCAGGAGAAGAAATTTTTTAACTTTGGGAAGATTCTCTTCAGCAACACCACAGTTGTCCTGAATTGTAAGTGGATTTGATGGGTGATCATAGCAGTCCCACTTTTAATTATCACACGGGGGAAACAGTTGGATGAAAGTGCTCATTAAACTGTACAGCATCTCAGTTTAATAATTATTGAACTGGTTGCATTGATAGATAATCTCCTGCTAATTGATGAAGTTTGGGTGTCCATGATTGTCTGTTGTTAGATCTGTCAGATGCCTTGGATACCATTGATTTTTGAGGGGGTGTTAACTTGCATAAAAACTGCAGTAGGGATGGAAGGTGCTTCTCCATAACATGACTTCTGGTGATCATGATGAGGTGGTTTCCCTTCTTCCATCTGGAGGGGTGGAATGGGCAGATCCTCGGAGGCAGAGTCTGGTGGCAGGGGTGCCCTGCCCTATTCTGGGTGCACAACACCAGGCCAGGTCGGAGGTTCAGTCCTTGGGGGATGGTGATTGTAACTCCTGAAGTGGGTGACTGGTTCTTAGTGGCTATTACTGGAGGAGCTTGATGGTTGTGAGGCTCCCTTCTTTCCTGGAGATACACTCATAAAAAGGATAAAGGGAAGTTGTTTCTTTCTTCTTTGGGCTCTATGTATATCAGGCTGCAGTCTAGGTAAGAAGGGAGCTGTAGTACTCTCAGTATGCTGATGACACTCTGCTGTATTGCTGTCTTTTCAGTCAGTGCTGTTGATAGTCAAGGCAAAAGCTTGAGGTAGGTTGGCCATGGACAGGAGCCTTAGGCTGAAGCTCAGCCTGGATAAAGCTGATATGAACCTCATATGAAGGGATCTACCTAAATTGCGGCAGAAGTTCACAGCACATCAGTACCCTTAATTTTGCTCTTTTCGCCACATTCCCTGCCCTCTTGCCACTGAGTGGTTGAGGGGCAAAAACTGTGACATTAATTGGCTACTTGAGTTGGGGGTGGGGGGAGGCACAGTGAAAAGGTAGCTTCCTACTCATATGTTGTAGGAAGTAAATGGATGATATGGTTGAGCTGTTCTTTCCTTCTTTAAAGGTGTGTTCCCCACCTTATGTTACCCATCTTCACAATCTATTTAATCTGTTGGAGGATTACACAGGAACCATGTTAACACTTGATCTATAATATCCTAAGTGAGGTGGAACATTGTTACTTGAGGCCACCTCCTCTTGTGCTACATTTAATACATCTGTGATCAAAGGAGGGACTCAAACTGACAGCGCTCCCCACCTGGATAGAAGGAAGAGACAGATAGTAGAGCTATTTAACTGCATGATGTGTGTGGTCCACTGGCTGACACAACATTTGAACAAGACCTGGGGGTCACGATCGACCAGAAGATGAACATGAGCTAACAGTGCGATGAAGTTGCCAGCAGGGCAAATAGAACTCTGGCGTGCATCACCCAGTGTGTTGCCAACAGATCCAGGGAGGTGCTTCTCCCTCTCTGTTTGGTGTTGGTGAGGCCACAGCTGGAGTAGTGTGTCCAGTTCTGGTCACTGCACTTCAAGAAGAATGTGGATAAGCTTGAGGGTACAAAGAAGGGCCACCCATATATGATTAGGGGCCTGAAGGTTAGGTCCTATGGGGAGAAACTCTGCGAACCGGGCCTGTTCAGTCTGAGGAAGAGAAGGCTGAGAGGTGACTTGATAACCGCCTACAAATAAGTCAGGAGTGAGCATCAAGATCTAGGGGAGCAACTCTTCAGGAAGGCAGCTTCAGGGATGACAAGGACCAATGGGCACAAGCTAATAGAGGGAAAATTCAGGCTGGACATAAGAAAAAACTTTTCTCTGTAAGGGTCATCAGAATCTAGAATACATTCCCAGCAGAGGTGGTGCAGCTGCCATCCTTGGAGGTGTTCAAAATGAGGCTGGACAGGCACCTTGTTGAGCTCATCTGAGCCCAATGACTTCTTGCCCATAGCAGGGGACCAGACTTGGTGATCTTGCAGGTCTCTTCCAGTCTGTTGATTCTATGATTCTTTGTATCAGCTCTGTAGTAGGCTTTCTCCACTGCTAGAGTAGCCCAAGTCTATCGAATTTAGGAGCATGCTGCAAGACAGCTCCTTACACAGGTTGCTGTAGAGGCAAGCCTTTGTGAGAAATGAATATGTGGAATAGTGGTGGTTGGGGTTCTGAGTTTGACCTGATTTTTGTTTTCAGAATTTGTGGTAGGGCACTTACAGACTTCATAGGTGCCCTGTTTTTGCAAAAATCTAAAAATATTAATTTATATGGTGGTAGCATCTAGAAATCTAACCCTTATGTACTGCAAGACTGATCATGAAGTTTCATTTGAAATAAATGAGACAGGGTCAGAAGAAAAACAAAGGTCCAATAAGTGAGCCAGTTTGTCTCTTGACATATGGCAGGTCTGTGGCAGAGCTAGTAACAAAATCCAAGTCTTCAGATTCCTGGTCTGATGCTCTATCCTAGACCACATTTTTGTTGACTGCTGTGGTGGATCTTTGGTTCTTGCAGTAGTATGTTTGCCCTGAGATTATATTTCAGCTGAAAATTAACAGTTTTGTTTCTGGTACCGTATGTCTTTGATTTCCATATGTTGTTAAGATGAGGGGTGTAGGTTGCATCTGTGTTGGTCTAAGGACATAGGCAGACAAGGTTCTTCGGGTAAATCTGATATCTTTTATTAGACCAACTAAATAGTTGGAAAAAAAATTTCTTAGCACGGCTTTGGGTTTAAAAACCTTCGTCAGACTGAGGAAGCATCTGCAGTTGGTGTGTGCTCTTCCTGGATGGAATGAATAGTAAGGAAGCCAGAGGCTGGTATGCATGCAAGAAAGCCAGTCAGTGAAGATGTAAATTCACAGTTGGTAAAATTCACATATTCACAATCAATGAAAATGTAACTTCTTGCATGCATACCAGCCTCTTCCTTACTATTCATTCCATCCAGGAAGAGCACACGCCAACTGCAGATGCTTCCGCAGTTTGACAAAGGGTTTTTAAAACTGAAATCGTGCTAAGAAATTTTTTTTCCAACTATTTAGTTGATCTAATAAAAGATATCAGATTTACCCAAAGAACCTTGTCTACCTCTTGTTAAGATTAGGGAATGCTGTGAAAGGCTCTTTTATTCTTGATGTTACCTCTGTCTTGAGGTCTCCATTGGTTAGTATGGCACTTTCAAGATATTTAAATTGTTCTGCTCCTTTGAGATTTTGTCTTTCTCTAGTCTACAGCTATGCCAAACAGCAGAAACAGAAGATAGCCCTGTTTCACTCTTACCCAAAGGAACCATAATATGGTTCTTAATTTTAGTAGGTGCATTATATTTATTTTCATCCTTGAAGATGGAACACTTAACTCATGGTGATCATTTGCATAATGGCTTAACGTGTGACTAATTTTTAAGGGCACCATTGTTCAGCCTTAAACTAGTATTTTTTTTCCTAACTGAAAAGGGCTTGCTTGTGATTATCTGCGCCCTCCTAATCTGAAATGAACAGCCCTGATGAGGGCAGGATAAAAGTCTAGAAATGTAGTGAGGCAATGCAGTGTTTTATAGCTGTTTTATCCCCTTCTTGTGTAGCTTCTTGGTTGCTTGGCAAATACAGCTGTGGCTGTATGAGTAAACAGAGTAATTGTTGTCTATTTTGTTTCTATTTGTATTCATACTGTCAGATTCTGTTTATCAGGGTTTATTGTGGGAGCAGGATTTGAAACAGGACTCGATGTGATAAAATGCTTCTTGGATTAATAAAGTCTTAAGTATTATCTTTCATTCTCACCATACAGTCATATTTTAGGACTCAAAACTCAAACTATTGACTTGTGTAGGTCAATGTCTGTTAAAGAATGAGATGAAAGAGAGGGGTTTTTTTTTCTGGGTTTTGATTTAAAAAAATAATGTTCAGTCTAGTTATGTGTTGCCTTGTGGGGTCAGGCCAGCGTTCAGGATCTCGATATCACACTGTTAGACAGGAGGGCATGATGTACAATTGCACATACACAAAAATCAATTAGGTGCACACACACTCTAGGTGCATATACCTCCACCAGGTGCGCACACACTGCTGCCTAGGCACATGCACACCTATCACCAGGTCAAGCTCATACACACTATACACACTGAAAATTAGACAACAATCTGTTGTCAATACCCGCACACTCAGCACACATACATGGTTCGCTAATTCGTGTATCATGCACACAACAACTAATATATATATATTCACCAGTTCACACACACACCACCCAACTATACATACAGATAGGTGAGTTCCTAACTTGGATGATACAGTATGTATGTGTGTGATTGGGGGACTTTGGATACCTGGGGGAAGGTTAAGGTGAGAGAGAAAGTGTAAGGAGTGAAAGTTGCTGGAACTGGTACACTAGAGAGAAGCTGGCTGAGGAACTGAGGCTTGGGGATACTTAATGTCAAGTGTCCCCAGGGTTACTTGAGGTTATTGGTGCAAGGGAAAAAACTCAGTGGCAAGGAAGAGACAGCCAGGAAAGAGAGAGAGGCAGACAGCTGGGAGCTTGGGGCTGGAAACTGAGGCAGACAGCTGAGAGATTGGGGGGCAGATGAGTGGTGGCAAGGAGGAAACAGTCAGGAAACAGACAAAAACCCAACTCCAGGTTTCAAAATAACTGGTTTATTAAACAGACAACACACTACACAGCCCCATGAAGTTATTGGTTCCCACACACACAAGCACTCACAATGGCAGCAGGAGAAAGAGACTCATTGGAAGGGTTGGAGTCCAGGTAGGGAAGAGAAACAGAGTCCAAGTCCTTGGTTGAAGAGAGGGTGGGGGTGATAGCTACCTATCCAGGCTGAAAAGGGGTCTTTGTCCAGCAGGTGTTGTCCAGAGCGGGGTTGCCGGCAGGGCCTCTGGGTGGATAGGTGGTGTGGCATGGTGCTGGTCCAGATGGAGAGGGCATCCCAAGGAGTCAGTCTTCACTACCCCTTTCTATGGGGCAGACTACCTATGATCTCCTATGGGGAGGGCATGTCCAGGCAATGTCAGTCCTGTTCTAGAGGGTTCCAGGTGTTCATAATGAGCATGTGCAGCCTTGGCACAATGGTGGGTTGCCTCATCTTTTGTTTCTTGAATGCTGAAGGTGGTTCCAATGGCTGGGTCGTTGGTCCAGGTATTGGTTTTGATGGTTCAGTCATTCAGAGGGAGCTATTTTTGGACCTACTGCCATTGTCTCTCAAGCACCCTCATTCATCCCTATTCATTCAGGAGCCAAGTTACATAGGAAGGGTAGGTATAAGCCATAGGTTACAACACACTTGCCCAACAGGGCATGGGGACAAGATGGGAATAAGATGGGAACATGACACACAAAATGAATACTTGACATCACTCATGCCAATCCACATTGCAGGCCTAAATCATACAATGTTAATATGAAACAATAAAAATCAGTGCACAAATGACAGGAATACAACACAATATAAAACAGTAAAAATCAATACAAGCATAACATAACACTATTGACAATATAAAAAAGGGCTTATTACAATAATAGTATACAAGAACTTATCATAGGTTACCTAGTACTAGTAATCACTTATAAGGGAAAGAAAGGGTAGAGAGAAAGTCAGAAATGGTTAGGGGAAGGGGAGGGAATGTATTAAAAAAAGAAAAAAGAAAAACTGGGTTTTGGTACATATGGATCATTAGATCTGGAGACTGCTTGTTAGCTTATTGCATTTAAAAAAAAGGATTGGTTTTGATGTTAGCTTAACTGGATGGATTAAGTATATTTAAAGTAGCATCTTAAAGTATTTCAGAGTCACAAGAGCTGTGCTCTGATATTTAGTTTAAACTAAGTGATACTACCCATACCTCTAAATATCCTTCATTATAGTTTAAAATTGTAATGATGGGGGTCGGTGCTGTTGCTCTTCTTTGAGTTTACATTTTACAAGAACTGTTATTTATTTGCCTTAATACCCTTGTGCAGTTGCATGAGCAAATAATTACAACATCTTTCAGGAAGTCTAGTGTAATTCTGTAACAGGGCTGAATGGAATTCTAGTCTCAATGTACTTCCCTTCTGTCATGTGTGGTGCTAGTCCAGTAATATCTAAGGGGAAAACTGGGCATGAATAGGATTTATGTTTTTTCCCCTCTCTTGTGTTCCTTGTAGTTGAAGGAGATGAGAAGGCTTGCAATCCTTCCCAAAGTTACAATGTTACCTGGTACTTAAGATACTGTGATTGCTACAATGAAATCTTCAGCTTTGGGGTAAGGACTATCTGGAACAGTTTGGGGTTTTATAATCGGATGATTTAACAGATTTGGGTTTATGTATGTTGCTGTTTTTCTTCACCTCTGTCATTCTGATCTACCCTGGTTGTGGCAAGTTCTTGGAGAGGGGAAATTTGATTTGAGAAATGGTCCATTGAAGTCAATAGACTTCTTTTTTCATTGACTTCAGTGGATTTTGAATGAAGGTTGTGTGTGTTTATACCAATAAGCTTCCCCTTAAATTCAGAGTGTAAAATAATAAATGCATAAATCTAATCACTCACACCCACACCCAACCCATATGGGGAAAAAAAAGAAAGAAAACTTGTGAGCATTCTAAATAAGAGCACATAATTAATTTCATTATTTGCCTACTTTCATTTTGTCCCTTAGTTCATTTGCATTTCAGTGGTCTTCATTTATATAAACACACAGGTCCAAAGCCAACTCCACCTTTAGGTGGGTAAGTAGCACTTTAGATGGGGCAGACAGCAGTGGGATAGCTTCTGTTTATTTCTTCTGATTACTTATCTGCAAAATGCAGAAATGCCATTGGGGATAGGTGCGGGAACCTGGGATTCATCTATCTGAGCCTCAGTCCTGCTGGTTGCCTGTCCTCATGGTCTTATATACCTTCCCTTCTTTGCCCCCAGTGGACCAGCTTCAGCAGGAGGGGTAGAGAGTGCACTTGGTAATACCTCGCCTGTAGCCTCACAGTTAGAACACTGCTGAGAAGTGGGAGATATAGGTTTATATTCTCTTTGGCTGACCTGGATATCCCTTTTCCCTCTCCCTCCTCTCACATCTCCCTGACATGCATGGAGATTATACACTGAGGAGTGTAAGTGACTGGAATGCATCTTTCTGAGCAAGCTTAGAAAGACCTGCCAAGTTGTGCAGGGGATACATAAGCTCTAAAAATCTAAATAGCTCACAATGATACACATGCAGTTTAAGTTAGCTGCGTAGGTGCTATTTTTCCATCCAAAGAGAGTTGGGTTTGGGCCATGTTGTTTTTCAAATACAGTTTAAAAATACAGCTTGTTTTTACAACTTTTATAATGTGTTTTTCTTGTTAGTTAACTTTCTTCGTCAGGTCAGTATTTTTAGGGACCTAATTTATACTGAAAAGTATCAACTCTGTGAGGATTTTAATAATTTAGGGTTCAATCATGCAGACTCCGGCTTGTGCTTCATTTTAAGTGTGTAAGTTGTTTTACTGACTTGATGAAAGCTATTCACATGATTGAAATTACCCATGTGTTTTCCAGACTGACCAGTCAGTAAGCAACAATGTTGACATTTTTAGCCAGCAGCACAGTCTTGTTTCAAGTGCAATGCTAAGGCTAGAGTAGTTAACTATAAAGTAAGTAAGCTTTACACTTAAATTCCTTTTATATGACAACAAGCATTCACTGCTTTTGATGTATTATAGTAAGTGTTTATATTTTAGAGTAACTTTCATTTGTACAGCTTTTGGGCTGTCTGGCATTAAAAACTGCATTTACAGGACTATGTAAGAAGCTAATTATGTGTCAGAAATTATTACAAAATTATAGAGAAACTGGGTTGCAGCCCTGTTTTTAGATCATTGAGATTTCAGTTATGAACTGTCTTTTAATCCCCACTGTAAACATACTTATGTTTGTGCTTATACAGTGAGCATGTTTGTAACACAAGGGAAGGGAAACTTCATCTTATATGTATTAGATAGGATGTGAGACAATTATTTTATGTGTCCTATTAGAATCTATTCAAGGATATTGGCATGTCAAGAGAAATTATGCTGCTTTCTACTTCTTCCAACTCCGTGGGTTCCTATGTGCTGGAAATCTAGACTTGATGAATCAAGCCTGCTGGAGCACAGAAATAAACGCACTCCAGCAGACTGGCATCACGTGCATTAGCATCCCCATGTGTAAAAATGGCAATGGGGTGCTTTGAACTAAAGCTTGTTCAATGAGCTTTAGTCCAAAGTGCCTTACCACCATTTTTCAATGTGGGGGACGCTGATACACATGCTGCTTGGGCATTTTTAATTAAAAGTGTTTGCTAATTAAAGCCACCCCTAACCCCCGTCCCCCTCTTCCCGGGGCGCCTCCTGGAGTATGTGTAAAAATGCCTCTTGAGCTAAACTCTCAAGATGCCAAACTAAGGCATGTTCTGTGTCTGACAGGATGAACAAGTGGAATATTATTTTGGGGCCACGTCTGAGGAGCGTTCTGGTTGGTCAGGGTCCTATGCCATGGCTTCGCTCTTCTTCCCCAACTGTTCTGAGCTCTTCAAACCACAGGTATCCGTGAAGACTTCTCAAACTTCTTTTCTCTTACAGCATGTGCAGATGAAAGAGGTCCTCATATTTGATATGGTTCCTACTGGAATAGTTGAGCTTGTTGCAGCTACACTTGTAACATTAAGAGATAAATACCTATCTCAGAAAATTATTTTTCTTTATCTGTGCATAACAAGTAACAAAGAGCCAAAACAATTACAGCCATGATTTCTTGGGTTTGGTTTAACTGTTGTTCACTGTTCAAAATCAGGTCCTGAAAAGCAGATTTAAAAGGTGTTTTGTGATGCCTTTTATTTTGGCAATCCAGTTCATTGGTCCTACATTGCCAGCCCAATTCACATTGCAAGGAAGGGTGGCACTGCACATGTGCACAGCTAGAGTGGGAGGCCACTTTGGGAGCTGTGGGAAGCACTCAGTAACCTGAGCTTTACACTTCTTTTGTTAATAAAGTCCTCTTCCTTTTTGCCAGGGAGAGTTCAAACTAACATTTAAGTTAGGTTAAAGAATAACAAGAGCTGGGTATGGAGATTATATAAATACTGATAATAAAATAGAAAGTAGAAGGTACAAAAGAACATGTGAAGCATAAACCAGCTTAGAAGGGGAAGAGGGGGCCCCTGTAGGAAATGACACATGGAGGTATATGGTTTGCAGAAGAGCATCAGAGAGCATGTACAAATAGCAGGATATAGACCAGCTGTGTCTTGCCAAGGGAAACAATACAATCCTACCAATATCAAAAGTCAGTGTACACACTGTTTGTTTAGGAGTTTGGACATAAAGCATTCAAGGAGAAAAGTGCAGTGTGGCATATAGATTAAGACACTAATGAACAATAGGAAACTTCTCATAGATGCATAATCTGTGACACTTGGAAAGAAAAAAAGCAGAATTAAAGGTGGCTTAAAATTGATTTTTAATAATGGGCTTCTTTCTCTTTCTGGCTTTGTATAAAAATAGCATGAGAGAGTTTTTTGTAACACGCTGCCTGATTTCACCTTTTATATATAAAGAAATGTCAATATTATTTTTCCTGTTATTGCTTTTCAAGACAGCTTGAGGGTCTTGGCAAGACAGGGGGCGATCCTGAGCTCCCCCTGCACTGGCTCCCATGGCTGTGAGCCCTACAGTTGGGGCTCCCAGTGCGGGCAGCATTCCCTGCACTACTCCCACTGCAAGCCTTACAGCTGGCATGTGCTGCAGGGCTCCCAGCAGAGGAAATGCCCCTGCTGTGAGCCTCGTGAGGTGCAGGGCTCACAGCAGAAGCAGTGTGGTGGAATGCTTCCTCTGCCACAAGCCCCACATGATAGGGGGTTTAGTGTTTTTCCTGTTGCTGCCACTGTGAGCCCCACACCCAAAGATGCTGCCCCTGATGTGGGCCCCGGTGCGAATCTCCGGAGGTGCAGGGTTTGCAGCAGTGGAAGCATTGCCCCCCTGCAAGCCCCACTGCCCCTGCTGGGAGCCCTGCAGCCAACAATGCTCACAATGCAGGGAACACAGCCTCCACTGTGAACCCCACTGAGCCCTGTCAACTTCTGGGCTTGCAGCTGTAGGAGCTGGTGCGTGGGGAGCCCAGGATTGTAATCCTAGGCTCCACTTGCACTAGCAATAAAGCGTGATGGGATCTAATATGTGATCCCACACAAGATCCCATTGTGCCTTCCTCTGCATGTGTAGAGGGGCCCTAAGATGCATTTCCTTGAGCTTCTTTGGAAACCCAGTCTAAATTTTTAACAGAACACTTGTTTCTCCCAAGTGTATAGCAGTTTAGTATTAATTAAAAAGCAGTGATTTCCCCCCCGCCTCAGTTGATCAGCTTTCATTATCTTGCTATTTAGTAATTGTATTAGTTCTCCAGTCACCAGCATCTCTTTCTGGGCAGGCAAGACCAAATTTCTAAAATTAAACAACAAAAAATTCAAACCACCAGAAAAAAAGATTTGCAGAAACAAACCCACCCTTCAAATCAATTGATTTCCATAGAAAAATACACATGATTCCAATTATTTTCTTGGAAAAAAACAAAAAACAACAACCCCCACTCTGTTCTATGAGTAATACAGTCTCTTACAAGGACAGTTCTAAGCAGGAGTGCAGAGCTTTCTCTAGTAGGGAAAGGATTTGAGCTAGGTAGAGAAGAAGGCTCAAACACTAATTTCAAAGTGCTCTTTTTTTGTAACTCAGCAGTTTTTATGCTGTTGTAATTTTTCATTAATACTTTTTTCACCCTAAAGATGTTCTACAAAGAATATGTTCATCCAGAACCCCTCTCAGGTAACAAACAGGAGGTAATGACTTTTCTTTGGTATGTATGTTTTTTTTTTTTTTACTGATAGGGGGAGGGTAAAAATTCTTGCATTCTGACTAATCTCCTGGCTTTTTTCCCTTCTCTACCTTCAAGAGTTTAAAAGATAAGAAGGAGAACAGTGCAAACCATACGACTATGGCAGAAAAAACTGTAAGTAGCCTGAGAACATGGGGTATAAGGGTAGTGTGGAATCTAGTAATCTCATGTGAATTTTTTTTTCTGTTTGCACGAATTCTTTATAATATGTAGTTTGAGTATGAAATAAGATAGCAATACCAGAATTTTATTAAACATAGCTATGTTTTAGCTTTGACAAAATGTAATATGTGTGATAATTTAGTGACTATAGAATAACTATGAGTGAATCTCATTTTTCATAAGAAATATTTGTTAACCCTTTATTCATTGTTCTTTTTGCATCTGAAAGGTCAGACTGTTATAAACTGAATTAAATGCAAGCTGCTTTTTAAAAATTTAACTCAGTAAATATTGATATATAAAGTATGTCTCAAACTTAACAATTAATGATAATTTAGTTTTATCTAATATTTGTAGTATTCAAAGATTAAGCTTGATTTAATATTGATATACTTACTGATGCATCAGACGTAACAAGCTAGATTAATCATTAAAAGTGTAATCTGCTCAATACTTTTGATGAATATTGCATTCTACCCCAACTAGAAATAATTGTTTTGCCGCAACCTCAAAGGTGCCTGTCATGCAAATACCTATGCACGTGCTTTACTTTACACCCATTAATACTATGATTGCATTCAGTAAAGTTAAAGTTTATATGGCCCTTTCAGTCTTTGTGCAACTGATTTTCAACACCGCACAAACTGAGGAGACTGTTTCAAAGTTTGGCATATGGTAAATAAGTTCTCTGTTTTCTTGTAATTTAAATAAGGGCCTTGTTACATGGTAATTTTGGAGCTCTTATCCCCTGGATTGTCCACAGTTAACTCCTTAAAGTAGATTAAATGCTTGTTATTTTGTACAAAGTTATTCCACTCCAAGGCAGGATTATCTCTGATCTGCACTACCCAGCTCCTGTTCCATTAAAATGTGGATACTCCTCATAGATGTGCTGCCCAAGTTGAAGTAATCTAATATTCTAGGATCTCTTGTGTCCACACCTGTAGAGCAGGGATAGAAGCCTTCCACAGCTCACCAGCCCCCTACAGAAAACTCTCAGCTACAGCTCCTAGTCCTTCTCCTGCTTACCAGGCATTTAGTGGCAAGTCGCAGTTGTGCAGGTGTGGGACATTCAGAGAAGGTTTCTAGACTAAGGGTGTGACTGCCTGGTGGGGAGGCTGTGCCAGAAGCCGGAGCGGGGCCGCCTTCACTTTTCTGCTCTGGATGTTCCTGTGGCTGTGAGAAGCCTGGGAAAGCTCCTGGCTGGCCTAATGCACACCCCATATACCCTCAAGCCCTTTTCACAAACCCCACAGCTACACCCTCTTCCTCACACAATCACACATCTCACAAATACCACACACACAGCTCCCCACAAACCCCATACCCACCCACCCATACCCCACCGAATCCCTGCACACCCCACACACTGTACAAGAGTAAGACTGCATTTTGAGCTATTATGCAATCACTTCTACATATACAATACAAACACACAAAAGCAGGGAAAAGCGCAGACTCAGGGGCGATCTGGTGGCCACCTATAAGTTTATCAGGGGTGTTCACCAGGATCTGGGGAAATGTCTGTTCACCAGAGTGCCCCAGGGGATGACAAGGTCAAACGGTCACAAACTCCTCCGCGACTGATTCAGGCTGGACATAAGGAAGAACTTCTTTACTGTCCAAGCCCCCAAGGTTTGGAATAGACTTCCATTGGAGGTGGTTCAAGCACCCACTTTGAATGCCTTCAAGACACGTTTGGATATTTATCTTGGTGGGATCCTATGATCCCTGCTGACTTCCTGCCCCTGGGGCAGGGGACTGGACTCAATGGTCCTCCGGGGTCCCTTCCAGCCTGAACATCTGTGAAATCTATGAAACTCCAAGCTTGGACCAGTGGCTGACTGACAGGGCTGGGGAGGGGGCCATGGCCCCCAGGCAGCAGCCCTGGTGGGGTGCTGCTGGCCAGGCCCTTCAGAGTTCTTATTGCACGATGTGACTTTTTAAATATTGCTATGAGAAGGGGGTAGTGGGGAAGGGTGCAAATGCAAGCATTGGCCCCCGGGTGCCAGAGACCCATGGTACGTCACTGGCTTGAACTAACACTGATCAACATTTGTGTGGCTCATAGCATAAATTGTAACAAAGCCCTAATATTCTTCTACTTCTATTAAGTGTCTTAATTCCAATTCTATAATCTGAGCATAAGATAGTGTTTAATAGACAGCATTATCTTGGTTTTAGTTTTTGTAATTGGGTAATTTCTTAAAGAGAGGAAGCTTGAAATTCTTCCGTACTAAAATGGTTCAATGAGAAACTATAATGAAAATTAAAAAATGTCTTGAGGCAGACTTAAATTTGGGGACTGTTTTGCCATCATCATAAGAGCTGTCAAATGTCAGAGGAATTTTTTTTTTTTTATATGGGTACTGTTGTACTTAATTTTGATTTTAGGGCCATGTGGTATAGACGGAATAAATTGATCGGTGAGACTATTCCAGTCTTTAATGCAAATGTATTAAACACTTAAGCAATATCGAAACTCTGAAACAATATATAAAGGTATTCTTACTTGGGCCTTCCAAATGATGCACAATGACTCAGTTGGCCAGGTATTGTCATGGCATCAAGGGTTGCAACCGCAGTAGCCGGGTGTTGTTTGCTTCTCTGGCTTCCAAAGTGTTAAGCTTCTTCTTTGGCTATTTGTTACGTGTGACATCTTTTTTACCCATATGATTAACAAGGTTCCATGTATGGTTATGGGACAGGTTCCTGCCAGTAACCCCTTCATAGCAGCTGTCCCCTGTTACTCTGTTACCCATATCCTGTCTTTCAACTTTCTTATTTCTAAGTAGGTCATTCTTATTGCTAATAAGACAGTGTAACAAAGACATCAACAAAGCCAATTGCACCTTATCATGCATTAGCTGATGCATGACCAACAGAGCAAGGGAGGTGATGCTCCCCATCTACACGGCACTAGTCAGGCTGCAGTTGGAGTACTGTAACCAGTTCTGGGCGCCGCACTTCAAGAGGGATGTGGAGAATCTGGAGAAGGTCCAGAGGAGGGCCACTTGTGTGATTTAGTGGCCTCCATACAAAACCCTACGAGGGGAGGTTGAGAGATATGGATCTCTTCAGCCTTCACAAGAGACATCTGAGGGGAGATCTTGTAGCAGCCTATAAGTTTATCAAGGGAGGACAACAGAGAGTTGGAGATGTGCTATTTACCAGAGCATCCCTAGGAGTAACTTGCAATAATGGGTACAAACTAGTGGAGAGTAGATTCAGGTTAGACATTAGGAAGAAATTTTTGACGGTAAGGGTGGCCAGAATCTGGGACGGGCTGCCAAGAGAGGTGGTACTATCACCTAACGTGGAGGTCTTGAAAAGGAGGCAAATAGGCACCTGACTGGGGTCATCTGACCTTGGTCCTTTTCCTGCCTGGGGCAGGGGGTCATACATGATGATCCTTCAGGGTCCCTTCCGACTCTACAGTCTATGAATCTATGAGTGTTTGCTTTAGATATGAACATAGTGTTTGGTCAGAATATTTTCTGGAGTCTCACTAGAAGTGTTTACTGTTGCACTGATCTGATTTGCTCTGTATTGTCCTCTGTCTATATCTGTGCATTTCATTTTTAGGCAAGGAATGCTTTGATCAAAACGTGGCGAGATGGGCCATATATCTTTATTGTGCAAATTGGGATTATGGCCTCGAAAGAGTCTAGTACAAAAATTAAGAGGATGGAGAAAAGTACACCCTCATCTAATCCTGAAGAG